CCCATCCTGTTTGTTTGAAAACCAAGGGAGTTATAGCTATTTAAAGTTTCAGCCAATCAGATTGCAGCGCACGTGCATGCACGTGTTTTCATGATAATTGCTATATATCCTGTTGTAGGAAATCTTAATTCATGGCTATGTTCAAAATTTCAAAGGATTTCGTCAAAAAACAAGAAAGATATAGAGACTTTAGTTTCAGCCAATCACAGCGAAGCGCACGTGCATGCGCGTGAGATCTTGCTATTTTGACCATGTCATATTGTCTATGCCACACATATATCCTTATAATATGAGTTTCAAAGCATTTCATCAAAAATGTGAAAAGTTATGCCTTTATCAATTAAATCGGTCATTTCAAGTGTTGCACGTGTGCGCTCTTGCAAGCACGTGCGCGCAAAATAGCCTTTGTTCGGCAAATCTACATAACATGTCTACTACCCCTAAAAACATTTTACCTTAGTCAGATGTGTAGTTTACAAGATCACTCAAGTACAAAATTTTCCCAGGAAGAAAAATAATAATAATAATAAGAAACAGAGTAAAAACAATATGTTCCCAAACTTCGTTTGGGGAACATAATAACCTAACAGTTCTAGGTACATTTTTGGATTTCATTTGCGCTCGTTTTCATCTGAATTTCTGAACATATAAAGACGTATCACAACCTGTCAATGCTGTAAAATCTGAAAGGGTCTTTTGCCGTTTGTCTCAGATTAAGCTTAAGAATTCCACCCTCATTTGTTTGGTATCGTTTTTCTCGATCATTCGTTTCGAAAGAATTAAAGGCATTTCACAGCTTTAGTAGCATTAAACATTTCTTCAATTAGCTTTAGTGTTCATACCAATTATCTCAAAGACATTCATTTAACATACCGTATATACTCGCCTATAAGTCGGTATTTTGGGATAGCAAATTAAATTTAGTCTAATAAGTCGGTATTGTGTGGGAGTTATAGGCGAGTCTAAAACTCTGTGTCCGACTTATAGGCGAGATATATTTTTCTGGAGGCAGAAATGTAATATTTTATTCGCATATCTGACTATTATGAAAGAAAATGTCTGGATATAATATATGATAATTTATAAATTCTTAATTTATAAATGATATAAAGATATAAACAAGATTTTAACATATTTTAAATGTTTTATTTTTATTTTTAGTGAGTCACTTTTTGTTTAAAAATTAATCAAAAATTAAATATCAGTGTAATTTCGAAAAATATTATTTGAAACTAGGTTAAAACATGGATTTACTTGAAATTGTCACAAGATTTTGGCAAAAATTTGAACCGACTTATAAGCGGGTCAATAGCAAATCCTATAAAATAACTTCAAAAAATTGAACCGACTTATAAGCGGGTCAATAGCAAATCCCACTAGTAAAATAACTTCAAAAAATACAACCGACTTATAGGCGGACCGACTTATAATTATACTAGTATATACGGTAAGTATGCTGATTTCTTTCATTCTTTACCATAAGGCCAACATTTTTTTATTAAATGGTTTACGGGAATTTTTTTGAAAGAATTGGGTCGGGGGGGATAAATAAAAATAAAAATAAAATTCCATAATCTACGCAGTCGACTAAAAAAATAAAAATAAAATTGGAAAAAGTGTGTGATTTTTTTATTTTTAATAATTCGATAAAAATTGCCATATATATGGTGCGGAGCTTGAAATATGATAACAACAACACAAATATTAAAGTACACTACTAAACCCAGTTACCCTTGGGAGAAATGGGGGAATCTAAGGATTTCCTTACAAAAATACTCATTATGACAACAAGATGACCAAAGAAAAAAGTTTGCTTAAAATGAGAACTTCACTATGTTCAAATTAACCAATAAATGAAAAATGGGAAATATTGTTATAAAGAGAATCTGAATAAAACCCAGCATCATAATTTTAATCTGTATTTTACAATACAGCATATGTTTAAATTTTATGCAATTAATAAAATTTTGAAAGCTTGATAAAGTTGAAAGTATAGGCAAATTTGAAAAACGTATCGTTTGCAGCTTTCATATATCTATTCTATAACTGTTTAACACACACCAAAATACTTAATACGAATTTCCAGTCTGTATACACATGTATGAATTTTTTAAAAAATGTTACACACATTTGAAAACGTTTTTTGGATATACATGCAGATACGTCCCATTTTGTTCTTCACAAAATTCGAACGTCTATTTTCGATTTCCATTCACGTATCACGTTCTTCAAAGGTATCAAAATTGTGAAAGAGAACTACTGTACTGTATACGGTACCCCACATCGAAAGTGACCAGGTCCAGTACAATCAGTACATTTAGCTACGTAGGTAGAATTACCTACGTAGCTTTATTTACCTACCTCAGGTAGCTTTATTTAGCTATTTCAATGTAACTTTTCTTTTTATGGAAAGGAGACAAAAAATCGCAGTTAAATGACTATTGATATTTATACTAGGGAGACTTTAAAAAACATTCCAAAGCAGAGATAGTTTAAACATCGCTGTGTTTGGTCAGTTTAGAGCAAAACATGTAATTCCATTGTTTGGTTATCTGTCCGTTCGGTGAGGCATGACTGAGTATGATTACTTCACATTGTGCTGAATAATTACCGACCTATTATCATGTTAACCAGAACTGGACTTCTTTGTCATTTCATTCAAGGAGTAACTGTTCTAACTGTCATACATAGCCCCAAAACTTTCAGAAGTTTGATTGCAATTGCGCAGAAAAAGACATTACTTCAAGAGGGAAATTTTCATTGCATATAAAATTTATCATATGTATTAGTAAAAACAATGTTTCAGTTGTTATTAAGCACTTGGAAATAATTAAATGGCTGGAAAAAAGTAGGGAAATTTTCATGAATTGTTTTCAGATCAGTTCAAAGTTGAAAATGATCACTGCATCAAAATGATAGTTTTTGCACATCCTGAGAAAAATGCTTTTTTATAGAAAGAAATTCATTTGGTAGCTAAATCAAGCTACCTGAGGTAGGTAAATAAAGCTACGTAGGTAATTCTACCTACGTAGCTAAATGTACTGATTGTACTGGACCTGGTGACAGTCATGTCAATCCCATGTCAACATATCCTCTAGTCATATCCTTAATTTCGTTATAACTCCAACTTAACTTCATCATTGGATGTAATCTTATTGATTTTCTCGTTCGCTATGGTTGACTTGCAAAAACGATCGTGAACCATCATGTATAAGGACGTATTCTCAACTTCTGTAAAATTTGACATTTCTGCGTCCATGTTGGCATGTTTTATGCACTTCCGAAACAGTTGATAAGAAACGTAAATTGATTGGATGATAAGAAAGGCTTTCAATACAACAGCCAATCAGAATTGCCGACTTATTTGCACATAATTTTATTTTTTTGGTGCACTTGCATTGACGATCGGCGGGAAATTTAAAAATAAAATCAACAGCAGGGACTTTTATTTTTATTTGGTTTTAGCTAAAATTGCAGTCGGCGCTCCCGTAAACCATTTTATTAAAAAATGTTGGCCTAACTCAATCTGATTAAAATCAGCTGTTCTGATATGCTACCACTTACGAACATCTGTTCGTATTATAAAGGAGCAAAATTTAAGTATCACTCCGTTTTTCTTGTCGTATTTTTTGCAATTCTGACACCTGTGTAATATTTTTAATCTCTCTCTCTCCTTCTCTCTCTCTCTCTCTCTCTCTCTCTCTCTCTCTGCGTACTTGAAAAACGGTACATCAATTTTAAGCTCTAGATAGTAAGGAATTTTTGTCTATAATTGTATGAACCTGCAGTCAAGAACTAGTATTCGAAATTGTTTTTTGAACCTTTGTACCATTTTAATAAATAATAATAATATTATCTGGTCCAGCACAATACCCCGATAAAGGTATATAGCTTGATAAACCCTTACCAAAATATTGACCTTCTGGCAACATCTTCTGGCTTTATTGCCGCAATATTGCAGCAATATTCTGGCAATACATTGCTGCAATATTGCGGCTATATCGTTTTTCGTATGTAAATTAGTGTTGCAGCAATATTGCCAGAAAGGGGTTGCGGCAATATTGCTGCAAATCATGACCAAAATATTGATCTTCTGGTAACATCTTCCGGCATCATTTACGCAATATTGCGGCAATATTGTTTTTCATATGTAAGTTAGATATAAATTGGTATTTAATAGAAATAATGATCTATCAATCTAACAATTAACAAACTGTGCTGAGGAATATAACAAACAATAGCAAGCCACAGGGTCAATAAGAAATAGCTACTTCTGCTATTCTTTGAACAGATAGAAAATAATGTTGATCATCAGAATGAAAATCAAGATATGTTTGTGAAACACTATGCGCCAGGTGGCTATAAAATTTGAAAAAGCTATTAATAGCATATGGGTCACAGTCAAGGTCACAAAGTCACTGATCTTGTCATTTGAAAGGACTTAATTAGTTGAGTATGCATACTAAGTATGACGTCTCTATCTCTTATAGTTCAAAATTTATGGCAGAGGATCAAAATGGCTATTTTTAGCATATGAGTCACAGTAAAGGTCAAATTGTCATTGACCTTGGTGTTACTTGAAAGAGTTTAATTAGTGAAGGGTGCATACCAAATATGAATTCTCCTTCTTTTATGACTCAAAAGTTATGTCGAAGTTTCAAAAATTCTATTTTACGTATATGGTCACAGTCAAGGTCCCAAGGTCATTGACCTTGGTGTTATTTGAAAGAGCTTAATTAAGGAAGGGTGCATACTTAATACACGTTCTCGATCTTTTATGGCTCAAGATTTATGTCCAATGTTCAAAAAATCTATTTTAAGGATATGGGTCACAGCCAAGGTCTCAAGGTCATTGACCTTCAGGTGTCTTGAGAAAGCTTAATTAGTAAATTACGCAAGCTAAATATAAAGTCTCTTATCTTTCATTAATTAGGGCCCCGCTTGGCGGGCGCCCTATAGTGATCAGTCTGTCCGTCCGGCTGTCCGTCCGTGCTAGTGTTTAGACTTTACGAGTTAAAAAATTTGCCCTGTCCAAACTAAGGTGTTAATGTGGAATTACGAGCTTAACTCCTAATTCTGACTCCAAAATTTGCCTAGTTACACTTTGTGAGGTAATATTCATGATGGGAAAAAAACTCGTAAATCTTGGACACAGCACTGGTCCATTATATGGACAAGAGTGAAAGAGTTATCTCTCTTTACCCAATCCTCAGTTTTCCCGCTCTTTTTTGAATGTCTATTATAAACATTACCGAGGGGTTCCGAAAGTTGATGACAAAGCAGAGAAGGGAAGCCATCTTGCCAGCTGCTGAATATAGGACAGTGAGTGAGGTAGGTTATTGACTATGTTTCTCTTATATATGTCTATGGTTTCTTATCATTTAGGAATTCATTTGTCCCGAATCAGAATTGAATTATTTCATTCATCCTTCTTCAATAATATGATGTGAAATTTTGTATTGAATATTTTGTCACGTTAACGCGGGAGTTTACCCGGATAGCTTTTTAGTTTTTACCCTAGCTACATAGTTTACAAATCGCACAAAGCTACAATTTATAGTACAAAATAATGTTTTCTGTATTTACATGTACATTTGACATATTTAGAGGCAGATAATGCAGTGAATTTTTCTCATGGTTAAATTTTAATGTTTTCATTTATTTTTGTGATTATGATGACGTCACTTTAGCTCAAAATTCTCCAAATTATAAATTTCAACTTGTTGGTATGTGTATATAATTTATATGAAAATGGCATTTCATGGTTTGAATGATAGAATAACAAAGCAAAATATTATCATGTCAGAAGCAGATTTTACTTCACTTCATGAAGAGTACAAAAAAGATAAATGTTAAGTATTTAAAGGTCCATGAACCAAGGGTTGAAATCAGAATATTTGTATGACATCACAGGAAGTAATAATGCTGGACAAAATAAAGAGCTACAGAAACTTCAACTCAAGATGGAGGATATTCCAATTGGATTTATATTATTTCATTCTCCTTATGACTACTCGGAAACTTGCTCTTTTTGCTCAGATTTTGACATGGATGTTTTGGAAATATATATACATGGATTTTGTTGTTTAACTTTTTTTTCGTTCCCGGAATTCTATGCTTGTCGTGCATTTTGTATCTTATCTGATTTCCATGTTGAAAAGTTTATTCTTATCTAAAGGTGAGTGAACAGTTGTAAAGAGCAATCTTTTTGTTAAATGTCCCTATACGAAGTGTTTCTACAGATAAAAGTACCAGGGAAAGAGCCAATGCATTTAAAACAATGAGATTTGAAGTTTTTTATCCAAGAATTGAGTGATAGACATGTGACAGGTTTGAGGAAATGTATAAAGGATTCTAGAAACAACTATTAATGGACTGAAGCTTTTGAGGTGAAGAAAAAGGAAATGTTTTAGGTTTTTATGAATCTGTTGCTGAGAGCTCTGTCTTATTTTTTCACTACCTTTTCATTATGGTATTTGATTAAAATGCTGTAATTTGTGTATTTTTACTGTAAGTTGTGTATTTTTACTGATAGCCATGATATATTTAGGTAAATGAATAGATAAAGTCAATACATTATCTGCCAATTAGGCAATAGTACTTGGTTAGCTAAGATTGTCCATAAATTATTAGGCTAATTGTCCATACTTTGTGAGCTAATATTGTCTCCCAGTTTAAAGAAATACTGAAATAGTACTTTGCAAGCTAGTATTGTCCGTAAATTATGAGGCTAATTGTCCATACTTTGTGAGCTAAGATTGTCTCCAAGTTTAAAGAAATATGAAATAGTACTTTGCTAGCTAGGATTGTCCGTAAATTATGAGGCTAATTGTCCATACTTTGTGAGCTAAGATTGTCTCCCAGTTTAAAGAAATAGTACTTAGCTAGCTAGGATTGTCCGTAAATTATGAGGCTAATTGTCCATACTTTGTGAGCTAAGGTTGTCCCCCAGTTTAAAGAAATAGTACTTTGCTAGCTAGGATTGTCCGTAAATTATGAGGCTAATAGTCCATACTTTGTGAGCTAAGGTTGTCCCCCAGTTTAAAGAAATAGTACTTTGCTAGCCAAGATTGTCCTTAAATTATGAGGCTAATTGTCCATACTTTGTGAGCTAAGATTGTCTCCAAGTTTAAAGAAATAGTACTTTGCTAGCTAGGATTGTCCGTAAATTATGAGGCTAATAGTCCATACTTTGGGAGCTAAGATTGTCCCCCAGATAAAAGAAATACAAAAGTCGTGTAGTACTTTCAGAGCTAGGATTGTCCGTAAATTATGAGGCTAATAGTCTATACTTTGGGAGCTAAGATTGTCGCCAAGTTTATAGTAATAGTCATTTGTTAGCCAAGATTGTCCTTAAATTATGAGGCTAATTGTCCATACCTTGGGAGCTAAGATTGTCTCAAAGTTTAAATAAATAGTATTTTGCTTACTAGGAATGTCTGTAAATTATGAGGCTAATAGTCCATACTTTGTGAGCTAAGATTGTCCCCCAGTTTAAAGTAATAGTACTTTGTTAGCTAGGATTGTCCCTCAATTATGAGGCTAATTGTCTATACTTAAGATTGTCTCCCAGTTTAAAGTAATAGTTCTTGGTTAGGTACGGTTGGGCCAAATATATAAAATTCACTTTGTTTGGCATTGCTGTACGATTTTTTGCTCAATACATAGCCCTATTTTAAATATACCCTGTCACCATGATCACAGTTCTGGCTAAGAAACTGTACCAATTTTTTTTTAATTTGTCATTTTAATTTCTTCCACCTATGAGTTGGGGAAAACGGGGGTGAGAATTTCACTGTATACAGTAGGGCTGGGTATTGGCCCGAGATTTCGTATTGCGATATAATGCGATATTTTTAAATGTATTGCGATATGTATTGCAATATTTTTTATGTTTAATATAAAAATGGCATTTTCTTACTAAATTTACTTAAATTTACATGCAGAATGTACATTATACATAACATGATAAGTAACCAACACAGAAAAAAAATCTTGTTAATTTCCTTTAAGTTATGCTCTGAAATGTTCCAACAAAACAACTTCTGACTTACTGTTTGGCTTAATAATAAACTTTCATAAGTTCATTTTTATATTTAATGACAAAATTCTTTTATGTAAGCATATTGCCAATATATCAATATTACAAAATTGTATTGCGATACAATATTTTTTGTCATTGTATTGCAATATATTGAAATATCGATATTATTGCCCAGCCCTAGTATACAGTATGCACCTTTTATTAAATCATTACAACCTCCCTTATGGGTTTGGATGTGACCTTAATCATGTTAATGAGGGCTTAGAGATTTATATATAAGAGAAGCTGGTGAGCATTTAGCTATTTATGCAAAATAGCCTCTTTTGGGGTACATATTTTTTTGACATTTTCAAAATTATTTTTGAGGTGTGTATCTTCTATATGAAGTTACAGTTACAAACCCATAAAACTCCATAATATTGCCAAATGATGTTGTTAAAACATTCAAGAGCAGGTGTGACTGACTGAATCTATATACTGCATGAAGGTTGCCCTTTCAGCCAGTATAATTTAAAATTCCCTATGTAATATATTGTTTATATAGTTCTTCAGATTCCCCCCCCCCCCTTTATTTGCTAGTAAATTCCATACACAATAAAAACATGCATGTACAAGGATTTTAAAATTACTACTGCACCTGTAAAATGTACCTTTTCCCTTTGAAATGAATGTCTAGTAACAGAATTTCCCCAAATTAAACAAATCTGAAAAATTAAGCAAGAAAATATGTAAACATCTCACTTTATTTAATTACAGACAGCTGTGTCTTGATACTTGTTTTATTCTTGGCCTTATCATGATATGCATCACATTATTAAAGGCATTATAAATAAACTTTGTTCAAGATGGTAAAAAATTTGATGTACCGGACGTCCAGTATAGACAAACATTATTAAAACTAGAGTTGTAATATTTGTAACAATTTAGGAATGTTAATTTACACTGTAATTGAATGATGGTAGATTGATTGTAATAAATACAAGAATAAAGGACTGGATCATGCATCTTTAATACTGATTTTTGAGACGAAGGGCATTTAAACCTTAATTGGGTGTAGAAATGAGCGTTACCTTAGAAAATGGTAGCCCAGGCATCAGAAAATGTTTTTATTATACCTCATTATAAATATTCTAAACAATGTGTTTTCTGATTGGTTCTAAGTTGTCACGTGATCGGGCCGTAAAACTTCATATTTCCAGGCCGTCGGCATGGTTTTCATCTTATTACATAGTACGTGTATTTTCCTGAAATATAGTTCTCGTTTGTTGAACGAAAACTCCTGAGAGTAGTTAATAGCTTTGTTTACGTCACAAAATTAATGATAATGTGCAGAATTTTAAAGTTTACCTTTTTTCCAAAGGTTTTCCTTGTTTTGGTATATTAAATAATTTATTGCATGAATGTTCGGGAAACATGAAGACTTATTCAGGCAAGAAATATAATATTCCCCTCGGGCGATGATTTTTCTTTGCTGAATAAGTCTTCATATTTCCCTCTCTATCATGCAATAAATGTATAATATTTCCATTTCTAATTTTTTTTTCTCTGTGATAACTCTGAGAAAGTTGTCAGAATTTATTTCTTGATAATTCTGCCTGAATGTAAATTAGGCAGGTCAATAGGTCAGGAGCTAAGGAGACCTAATACGCATGCAAATCCCGTGCGCATCTGTCTCTGTGTCTGATGCTAAGGCCAAATATGCATGTAAATCCCGTGTGGCTGCCTATGTGTTTGACGTCAGTGGGCGAGGACTATTGAAATTGGCATGGAAGTCCTCGTGTGATTATAGTCTATGTCTACATTTTTTAAGTTTAAATCTACAATTTTATTTTGATCACAATGAAATGGAAATATAAGGAATCATGTCTAGTTTTGAGAGTATGCCAGGGACATCAACGCCCGTTCTGCAAATTATCCCATGTTTCCCTCTATTGTTGATGCCCTGGCATACTCTCAAAACTAGACAGTGATTCCTTAAATAACACACCTATACTTAAGGAGTTATAATTTCCATCCATCATTTAAGAAGAAGTTGGATAGAATCCATACTTCAAGAGCTTAAATTGTCCATAAATTAAGAGGATGTTTTGTATAGTCCATTCTTAAGGAGCTAAAATTGCCCATCAATTAAGAAGACTTTTTATATAGTCCATTCTCAAGGAGCTAAAATTGTCCATTAATTAAGAGGAAATTTTATATAGTCCATTCTTAAGGAGCTTAAATTGTCCATAAATTAAGAGGAAATTTTATATAGTCCATTCTTAAGGAGCTTAAATTGTCCATAAATTAAGAGGATGTTTTATATAGTCCATTCTTAAGGAGCTAAAATTGTCCATTAATTAAGAGGAAATTTTATATAGTCCATTCTTAAGGAGCTTAAATTGTCCATAAATTAAGAGGATGTTTTATATAGTCCATTCTTAAGGAGCTAAAATTGTCCATAAATTAAGAGGATTTTTTATATAGTCCTTTCTTAAGGAGCTAAAATTGTCCATTAATTAAGAGGAAATTTTATATAGTCCATTCTTAAGGAGCTTAAATTGTCCATAAATTAAGAGGATGTTTTATATAGTCCATTCTTAAGGAGCTAAAATTGTCCATTAATTAAGAGGACATTTTATAAAGTCCATTCTTAAGGAGCTAAAATTGTCCATTATTTAAGAGGACGTTTTATATAGTCCATTCTTAAGGAGCTAAAATTGGCCATAAATTAAGAGGACGTTTCATATAGTCCATTTTTAAGGAGCTTAAAGTGTCCATTAATTGAGAGGATGTTTAATATGTCCAAAATTTAAGAGCTTTAGTCTGTAAAAAAAGGAATTCTGGGATTGGAAAATGGAGGTTATTTGGAAGCACATGATTGCTGTAGAAACATTGCTCAGTTTGTTGCTTATTGTTTTCATAGCAGTTTCAATTGCCATTTTTGTTGCAATTTATAAATGGGGCAACTATTTTAGTAGATGGAATAGAGAATTCATGAGAGTTTAAAAAAGGTATTCTAGCTGTGATAAGTAATGAAGATTCAGAATAATTTTAGAAGTGCTGAAAGTTTTTGTGAATTTGTTTTTTTTTTTCTGTTATAGTTTTTCTTGAAGTTCTGCTTTAGATTAAATAAAACCCTCTACATTTCGGCAACCAAGTGTATCTACCAACAAGCAAATGCTTCACAGAATGAGCTTAAAAAGCTTGGTTAGAGAAAATAAATTCATGGTCTCTGAGAAATATGTGCAATATTTACTGTATCTTTTTCTGTACATCCATATTTGGGTGACGTAAGTCTTGAAGTTTTGTTGTTGGCTATACACTCAACAGTGCTTTCTTACATTATACAATAAGCATAACTTTTGTATATTTTTGCATTAGTATTATTAAAAATTTCCTTTTTTTAATAGAAGAATCAAGATGCCAGGTCGTAAAAGAAAAAAGTTGAGTAGAAGTAATACTGGTCAAAGTGAATCAAAAGGTAAATAATTCCTAAAAAATTTAGTTGTTGCTGCTTGCATGGCTTTCCTCAAGATTCAAATGTTAACAAAGTCTTTGGATTCAATGATTTCAATCAGCTAGAATTTAAAGTAATTGACCTTAAGATATGAATAAAATATGAATAAAATAACACAAATCATGCAGATTGACATATAGAGTGTGAAAATATTGTATGACTCTTTTCCATAAATTGTTAAAGTGTAAAATGAAAGCAAAGTTAGATTATTGCAAAAATATCTATTATATTGTAGCAAACATTTGCATGAAATTTCAAAATTTTAAATAAATTTAGAGACATTGTTAGCTTGTCAGTTAGGACATGATTTTCTAAAGTGACTTTCTTTTTCATTTTAGGATCACCAAAATTGTTTATGGAAGGTAAATTTAAATATCAAATCATTTATAGCAAATCAATTTTAATGATAAGAAAGATATTTCAGAAAAATATATATACTTACATTTTAAAAAAAAAAATTGTCATATAAAGACATAACCATAGGTTAACATGTATGGATACAAGATGTGATGTGGAAAAGGGTATACTTGTATTATTTTGTTTATTGCATACTTGGTAATAGAAAGTGGTCATTTTTGACTACTAGTATATATGTGTATCATTTTTTTTAACAGGAGACCCTATATTTTGCCTAATGGATATGGGAGTATGGTGGCCTGGATTTGTGTTGGATGTTTGTGCAAATGGTGTTGTCTCTGTGGCATTTTGGAATGAAAATTCTATGTAAGTTTATTTATTTTATAACAGATTTGGAGAATGCTACCATCCTTTATAATGTAGATGCATATAACGAGAATGTATGTAAAAACATAGTCTAGAATCTTTGTCTGTAATATACTGTGGCACCTTCATTACTAACTTCCTGTAGACACTGCCTATCTAGTACACTGTACTACTTAAATTGTCATAAAATTATGGTTATTAGCCCTCCCTACTCTATTTCAGGAAATATTTTCAAAATGATAGTTTGACAGATGTTTAGAGATTATTAAATCAAAAAACGAATGTATTATTTTATATATATATATAGGGTTATCAAAAAGTTTGTAGACAGAAGCAATAGAATTAAATTATTAATCCTATGAAGTCTGCATACAAAATTTATAAGGAACATAAAACAACAAAAATGTTAGAACATCGATAATTTTTCAGATTAATTAACTCGTCTGAGTTGAATATATTTCACAGTCAAGATTTACTATTTGGATTTTTTACAGAGTGAAAAGATCATTGTCAAAACTTGTAAAATTTGACAAGAATTCAAGCTTGATAATATCAAGTATAGGTAATATATTTAGAAGATTATATATTGTTAATGTTTATCAAGTTACAGTAAAACAAACTTATAGCCAACATGCTTGATGCTTTTAATGAATTGACACTTGCAATTTAAAAGTTTCATTCCCCATAATTTCAAAAATATACATGTATTACAAATTTTTCAGTTATAACAATTGAATTATGCTTAAGGACATATGCAAGTTACCTTACCTACTGGTAATTTTTCAAGATCAGATGCTCATACATAAAAAATTGACATGCATTACTAGGTTTTTTTGGGAAGATATCAAATCATGAATTTTTTTGCATTATTCAACATGTTCAAAGAAAAATATACAAAAATTTTGAAAGAAAAATTCAATATTTTTAGATCACCTGAGTAAACTCAGGTGACCTATTGCTATCCGTTTTCTTCCGCCGTCGTGCGTCGTCCGTTAACATTTGAACATTTTCAGCTTCTTCTCTGCAACCACTGAACCAATTTTAACCAAATTTGGCACAAAGCATCTATGGGTGAAGGGGAACAAAAATTGTGAATTTCATGGTCCCTGTCCCCCTGGGGCCTGAGGGGTGGGGCAAAAACCACTAAAATTATTGCAATCTTTAAAAATCTTCTTCTTTACTCCTGAACATCAAGCAGTTAAATTGTTTGCATGATTGTAATCAGCATTGAGTCCTCTACCAAAATTGTGAAATTTATGGCCCCAGGGTCAGGGGTTCTAGTGCTAGGGTTGGGCCAAATAAGTATATAGTAAAAATGCATTATTTCTTTTAAAATCTTTTTCTCTCCTCCTGGGTATTAAATAAACTAACTAAGTGCATAGTTATGATGAGCAAGAGTGCCTCTATCAAAATTGTGAATTTTATGGCCCCAGGATCAGGGGTTCTAGTGTTAGGGCGGGGCTCTATAGATTATATAGTGAAAATTCATGAATTCTTTGAAAATCTTCTTCTCTGCTACTGAGTATTAAATAAACTAACTAAGTGCATAGTTATGATGAGCAAGAGTGCCTCTACCAAAATTGTGAATTTTATGGCCCCGGGATTAGGGGTTCTAGTGCTAGGGTGGGGCTAAATAAGTATATAGTTAAAATGCATTATTTCTTTGAAAAAATTATTTTCTGCTCCTAGGTATTAAATAAACTAACTAAGTGCATAGTTATGATGAGCAAGAGTGCCTCTACCAAAATTGTGAATTTTATGGCTCCAGGGTCAGGGGTTCTAGTGTTAGGGTGGGGCTCTATAGATTATATAGTGAAAATTCATGAATTCTTTGAAAATCTTCTTCTCTGCTCCTGAGTATTAAATAAACTAACTAAGTGCATAGTTATGATGAGCAAGAGTGCCTCTACCAAAATTGTGAAATTTATGGCCCTGGGGTCAGGGGTTCTGGTGTTAGGGCGGGGCTAAATAAGTATATAGTGAAAATGCATTATTTCTTTGAAAATCTTCCTCTCTGCTCCTGGGTATTAAATAAACTAACTAAGTGCATAGTTATGATGAGCAAGAGTGCCTCTACCAAAATTGTGAATTTTATGGCCCTAGGGTCAGGGGTTCTAGTGTTAGGGCGGGGCTCTATAGATTATATAGTGAAAATTCATGAATTCTTTGAAAATCTTTTTTGCTCCTGAGTGTTAAATAAACTAAGTAAGTGCATAGTTATGATGTGCAAGAGTTCCTCTACCAAAAATGTGAAATTTATGGCCCCGGGGTCAGGGGTTCTAGTGTTAGGGTGGGGTTTTATTGATCATATAATGGAAATACATGAATTCTTTGAAAAAAATTCTTTTCTGCTCCTAGAAATTAAATAAACTAAGTACATAGTTATGATGAGCAAGAATACCTCTTCCAAAATTTTGATTTTATGGCCCTAGGGTCAGGGGTTCTAGTGATAGGGTGGGGCTCTATTGATTATATAGTGAAAATACATTAAATCTTTGAAAATCTTCTTCTCTGCTCTTGGGTATTAAGCAGATGAACTACCTATGTAGTTATGATGAGCAAGGACCCTAATCTTCCAGAATTGTGAATTTGAAGGCCCCAGGGTCAAGGGTACCATAGGGTGGGGGTGTACTTATATACTGAAACTGGATGAATTGTTTGAGATCTGCTCCTTGGTATTAATCAAATATTTTTGAAAAGCAAGGGTGCCTTTTCAAAAATTGTGCAATGTGTGGATCGGATCTAGGCCTAAGGGTCAGGGGTTCATGTGTGATAGGGGCATTACTGATTATTGCTGAATATTACTGATTACTTGAAATGCATTTTTTGTTCCCCTACCCTGCCTATGGGTTTTAAGTAAACAAACTAAGCAACTGCTAAGTATATTGTTATGATGATCAAATGGTGTCTCTTTCAAAATTGTGAATGCCATAGCATCTTGCTTAAAACATTAATCAAATTAAATCGCTGGAAAGCTGTTGCATAATGCTCAGGTGACCTATAAGGCCCATGGGCCTCTTGTTTCCATCAAAATTTGTTCTAGAAGAGGTGTACAAATCCATATATAGACATTAAAAGTATTGCACACAGGTCCTTGGTTTAGTGGAACTCTTCAACTAGTGGAACTCTTCAACTATAGTGAAGAGCCCAATAAAGTTCAAACTATAATGTTGTGTATGACCTTAAAGTGAAGTAAACTCGTGCATTCCTAGCATTTTGTTATATAAGTATGTTTTACTGTGTATTTCTTTTATTCTAAATGTTGCTTTGTTGGTACTAATAGATGTGGCATTTCTACTGAAAATAATGTTTACTCTAAAAATTAGCAAAGCCAAAGGATAAGATCAAATATCTTCTGAATTTCTCAGAAAGAGGTAATGAAATCTGCACTGCACTGTACTGAACTTAAAAAAATTTTTTGTACTTTATATTGGAGTATATAACCCTAATTACACATAAAGATCATGATAATTTTCAAACCTGCCACTGCAAAACCTTTCAAGACATAGGTAGTTTATAGCTTGAATTTCATGTAATGCTTTTCTGAATTAGAAAATATTGCATATTGACTGAGTTATCTTCTCAAAAAACATTGTATGTAACAGTCTGCCATTTTGAATTTTGGTCGGACTTACCAAAATTCTTTTGTTTGTTTACACAGGTTAATTGCATGATTTCTTACTGGAGTTTGATGTTATCATCTATTGTTAATCTGCAGATGGCCACCTGTGTTCTGATAATTTGTAAACAAGCAGTAATTTCAAGTCAAATCAACAATGAAATCATATGCATCAAAAGTCATCATTAAGGGTTGGGGTCTAGGCATCAAAAGTCATCATTAAGGGATAAAGGAGGGAAAGGTCTGAGAGGAATAGAATTAAGAAACAGTAGAAATGCCACTTGTATTTAAGACTAAATCTAAATTTAATTTCTGATTCTGATAAGGCCAATTTTCTACAAAACTGATGCAGGAAGGAGGCGTTTTATTCACAATAAAATATTGAGGGAGGTATTTTTTAATTGTAATTTTTCGAATTTTCTTTAGAATAAAGATAATTTATTTACGGATATACTTTTCATATCTGATCAAAAGGATTGCTTTATCCACTGTGTGTGAACATTGTAGGCAATGTCTTTGAATGTATTTTCAATCAAATTAGTAGGGCTGGGTATTGGCCAGAGATTTTATATTGCAATATATTTGAATATTTTTAACTGTATTGCAATATTTATTGCAATATTTTCAGTGAAAATTATAATGGCATTTTCTTTTTATTAACTTTAATATACACAGAATGTTCATAACTTGCATAAATTCAACATTAATGCAGTGAATGTGTTCCTTAACAATGGAATAATCTTTAATTTCAGAAAAATTAGAAAAAAAGAAACGCCACAGCCTGATTAAAAAATACAAAGATGACCTATGCTTTGCAAGCTCAGCGGATAGATCATCTGACACTTTCATCCCCTCAGGAGATTCAACCTCTTTAGTCAGTGAAGAAAGTATGACAGTCCAGTCCTCTGTTGCAAGCATGGATGCAACTGTGCCGCATTCAAGTACTGTACAAAAGACTCCTGGAATGATAAGCTCAACAACTGTGTCAACAGAAACTTCCTCTAGCATTCTTGGTGCCACATTGTCAGAGGAGATGTCTCCAACCATTTGGGCGACTCCAGAAATTGATTCAACTGAAAGAACAAGCAGTCCAGCTATTCCGGTTGAAAGTACGTTGTGTGAAATCACCTTTGGAAGCTCAGAGGAGCGATCATCTGACACTTTCATCCCCTCAGGAGATTCAACCTCTTTAGTCAGTGAAGAAAGTATGACAGTCCAGTCCTCTGTTGCAACTGAGGATGCAACTGTGCCGCATTCAAGTACTGTACAAAAGACTCCTGGAATGATAAGCTCAACAACTGTGTCAACAGAAACTTCCTCTAGCATTCTTGGTGCCACATTGTCAGAGGAGATGTCGCCAACCATTTGGGCGACTCCAGAAATTGATTCAACTGAAAGAACAGGCAGTCCAGCTATTCCTGTTGAAAGTACGTTGCGTGAAATCACCTTTGGAAGCTCAGAGGAGCGATCATCTGACACTTTCATCCCCTCAGGAGATTCAACCTCTTTAGTCAGTGAAGAAAGTATGACAGTCCAGTTCTCTGTTGCAAGCATGGATGCAACTGTGCCCTGTACAAGTACTGCAGAAGAAACTTCTGGAATGGTGTGCTCAGCAACTGTGTCAACAGAAACTTCCTCTAGCATTCTTGGTGCCACATTGTCAGAGAAGATGTCTCCAACCATTTGGGCGACTCCAGAAATTGATTCAACTGAAAGAACAAGCAGTCCAGCTATTCCAGTTGAAAGTACGTTGTGTGAAATCACCTTTGGAAGCTCAGAGGAGCGATCATCTGACACTTTCATCCCCTCAGGAGATTCAACCTCTTTAGTCAGTGAAGAAAGTATGACAGTCCAGTCCTCTGTTGCAACTGAGGATGCAACTGTGCCGCATTCAAGTACTGTACAAAAGACTCCTGGAATGATAAGCTCAACAACTGTGTCAACAGAAACTTCCTCTAGCATTCTTGGTGCCACATTGTCAGAGGAGATGTCGCCAACCATTTGGGCGACTCCAGAAATTGATTCAACTGAAAGAACAGGCAGTCCAGCTATTCCTGTTGAAAGTACGTTGCGTGAAATCACCTTTGGAAGCTCAGAGGAGCGATCATCTGACACTTTCATCCCCTCAGGAGATTCAACCTCTTTAGTCAGTGAAGAAAGTATGACAGTCCAGTTCTCTGTTGCAAGCATGGATGCAACTGTGCCCTGTACAAGTACTGCAGAAGAAACTTCTGGAATGGTGTGCTCAGCAACTGTGTCAACAGAAACTTCCTCTAGCATTCTTGGTGCCACATTGTCAGAGGAGATGTCTCCAACCATTTGGGCGACTCCAGAAATTGATTCAACTGAAAGAACAAGCAGTCCAGCTATTCCTGTTGAAAGTACGTTGTGTGAAATCACCATTGGAAGCTCAGCGGAGCGATCATCTGACACTTTCATTCCCTCAGGAGCTTGTACAACTTCCACAATGTCTGAGTTGTCAGCTTATTTAACCCCTGTGGTCAGTGAAAACAATCAAATTAATTCTGACACTCTTTATACACAACTGGTCATTGGTGAAATGCCACAGAAGTCTCTGTTACCTAAACCTTGCAAGGCCCTTAAAGTCAAACTGCCTGCATTTGATCAATGTTTTGATACCCACACACAGATTTACAGAAACACTATTAATACAGGGCTTTATTCACCCACTGAAAATCATGACAATCAGGCTCGGTCAGATGACAGCATCTTAAGTACAGAAAAAAAACATTGTCAAAGTATTAACTGTCAACCACAGATTTTCAGTGCTACATTCGAAGCAGATTTGCCAGCATCTGATGATCAATCTGTAAATCCTATCAGGGAAACCTTGTACAGACAGTGTACATCTTTGAAACCCAAGGATCAAAAACTGCTGCTGGCTGACATGAATTTTTCTGATGAGGAGGAGGAATTTGGAGAAACAGACAGTGATAGAGAATCAGTGTATATTCCAGACTTTGACTGTGAAAGCGTTGATGACGACAGTGATGTGTCGGATGAATGGGAATTTCCAAAAGATACTCCTGCTCCTGAAGAACATGCTCCAGACAAACATGCTCCAGACAAATATGCTCCTGAAGAACATGCTCCAGACAAACATGCTCCAGACAAATATGCTCCTGAAGAACATGCTCCAGACAAACATGCTCCAGACAAAAATGCTCCAGACAATTGTGAAAATCCAGATTTGTTAACATCAAGTGTTCCATTCAAACGCAATATATTGCCAAACAAATGTATTTCGGATGTGACAAATACAAAAATTTATTCTAAGAAATACGAACTTAATTCGCACAATTCAAAACATGGTAGACTCTATGATACGGTGCATGCATGCCTGTTTTGTTATAAATTGATGACAAATATTCAAACTCACCTTCAACATAAGCATAGGAATGAAGAGGAGGTGAAGGAGATCTTGGACTTAAAAGAACAGATAGACAAAGTAAAAGAAAATGATGAATATAGGTCAAATTTAAAGAAGCGTTTAAAGAACTTACAAACTCTGATTAGAAACAAAGGAAACAACAATCATAATCAAAGAGTTCTTGCAGCAGAAGAAGGGGAAATATTGCTGACCAGACGCAGAAAGTCGAATCAATTCAATGTCAAAGATTACGGACCATGTCCAAATTGTCAAGAATGGATTGTCCTGGAAAACATCACAAAACACATGGTCGCATGTCCTATCCAAGAGAATATTGATTCAAAGGGTGCGGCTATTATTCAGTCCAAAATTATGGCAGGTAAAATTTCTTCCTCAGCGTCAACCAAATTAAAAACAGAAGTTTTCCCATCTATGATAAGAGACAAGACAACTGAAATAGCTCAAGGAGACCATCTTATCACAGTTTTAGGTAACATATGGCTTATGAAAAATGCTGGAAACAAACTTAGAAGAAAAAACTTTACAAGTTTTAGAATGAGATTGGCGGCAAAGCTGCTTTCCCTTCTTAGAGAAGATTCGCAAATCCCCTCTGCTTCCATGCACTATTTTATAGCCCCAGAACAGTTTGATAGGGTTGTGTCTTGTGCAGTAAAAGCTTGTGAAGAAGATGAAAATGCTGACTTGAAAAATCCCAGCACTGCAATTAAGCTAGGCTATGATTTAAGTAGATTAGCAAATGCAAAATTAGGAATCGGAATCAAGGAGGGTAATGACAAAGCAAAAACAGAGGCCAGTGAATTTTTACAATTGCTAAGAATGGAATGGAGCGTGAAAGTGACAAAGCTGGCAAGAATTACATTGGATGTGAGGCATTTCAACAAGAGAAAAGAGCTCCCGGATCCATCTGATATAGCGAAAATAGCAGCTTATCTTGTAAGGGAAATAAAGAACTTAGACCTCACACCAAACAACAGCAATGAAATAGTATTTCGAGAAGCAGTTGTACTTGCTGAGGCAAGGCTACTTTTGTACAACAGAAGGAGACCAGGAGAGTTAGAAAGCCTTAGGTAAAACCTTTTAAGCAATAGTATGATAATTAAAAATGAATCTTGACTAAATTGTTTAATTTAGGTCATCGGTAAATCTATTTTTGAATTTAGAATCATGCATATTGTTTAACGCCTTATGTGAAGATTATTTTAAACTTGGATTTTAGAAATCCAATGCTTAGTAAATATTGAATAATTTAAAATACTATTCATAATATTTCCTTTGTAGTATTGAAGTTTACAAAAACAGATCGATGTCAGTGGATGAAGCAAACATGGCCCTGCGGAGTCACTTAACAGATTTTGAGAAAATGCTTCTCAAAACTCAAGATCTTGTGGAAATACGAGGCAAAGTATGTATTAGATTTGTTTATCAGAGAATGTAATTCAAATGTGTAGCAAAATCATTTTTCTATCCTAATATCTGCTTTATAAGCATTTCTAATTAATAATTAATTAATTAATAATTATATCATATGTCTCATGCTTAAAAATGTAGTTAGTTCAGCTATGTTTGTTCTGAGTTTACTGATTATTATTACTTGTACAATACATGTAATTTTATTACTTGAGCTCAATACATGTAAAAACTTTTTTGATGAAAACTAGTACATGTATGTACTGTCATTACCTTAGATTATCTCTAATAAGCAAATGAACCATGAGTTTTCTAACTTGTCAATATATTTCATGCAGACTGGTAGGGGTGTACCTGTCTTAATCCCAAATGAAACAAACAAAGTGCTGGAATATTTGAGCGACCCAGTTGCCAGACAAAGGGCAAGCATTCGACCAGAGAATAACTACATGTTTGCCAATACCGGTGAGTGGGAACTACAATGAAGGGCATTGAAGTGGTAAAATTTCCCATTTGGATGAAATATTCTGAGTCATGTTTTGAACATCAATTATAACATTACACCACGCCCATTTCTTTAGAAACGAGAAAATAAAATAGCTGCCATAATGTTTTAGGACACACCATTTTCCGCAACAAGCAACATGAGTTACACTGACATAAATATTTTTAAATACGAAAAAGCTATATATATAAAGTCTCCGCTTCTGAAATAAAAGCATTGCAACAAATATGTACATATAATTATGATTTTATCTTGTTTACCGGAGTAAGCATAACACATGTATCAGTTGAACACGTTTATGTAGACCGTCAATTTGATTGGCTATTATATTTATTGAATACTTGTTCTCGGGTATTCTATGGAATCATTTGACCGATTTTTCCTTTCTAAAGAAATGGGCGTGTCTAAAGATAGCTGAAAATGTTCAATGCAAACGAAAAATTTTACCACTTCAATGCGCTTCATTGTATGTTTTATTTGTATTTACCCAAATTAAGTTTATTTATTGTAAGACTTGTTTGTGATCATGTTTGTTGTGGTTATACAGGTCGCACTGTTGTTCGAGCAGGGGAATCACTTGATCAAGTGAAATTCAGAAGTGAAGTTGAATTGAGATTCCCAGAGAGAATCTATGCCAACAACTTGAGAAAACACACTGCAACAATTGCCCAGGTTTGCTTAATTTTTCTTAATTTAAAATTACAGTATTAAAGCTGAAAAAAATTGGCATTATAGTTCTCAAGCCTTTGCACATCTGTTGAGGTAGCCTCAATCCAAATTTTATTGTATTTTTGATAAAATGAAAACTTGGTAATGTGGAAACCAATCTTGAAAAAAAAAATTCCACCCTCACTCTTTCTTAGTTTAGTAGTCAAACATTGCTTCTGGTAGCCACTTGCAAAGGGACTTGGTTAATTCATGAAAAAAAATACATTTGAAGATCATGCCTACAAGTTTTACATAATGATATTGAAGCAATTAATGGATAATGGGATTTTGACATGGAAAGAATATCTTGAACAAAGAATTGGTCTCATTTTTGTATATAGAAAATTTGGGTATTAAAAAATACCTTCCATATAATTTAGAGCCGATAATTGATTTTAGAAAATGCCCCCTACTCACATCTGTTTTAGAAGAAGATGCCCCAGAACCAGAAAATTGAGTTTATGTAGTTTACTTTTTTCTTCCTGGCAAAAGATGGATTTTAAAGTTCGATTAGTTCAAATAAAAATTCTGAATTTCTGTTTAGGCCCTTAATCTGAATGACACCGAGATGAAATATATCTGCAATCACCTTGGCCATACACAGAAGGTCCATGACCTTGTATACAGACAAACATCTGGAATGATCGAGAGATTAGACATTGCAAAGCTTATGTTAATTCAGGAATTCAACGTTGTTGGCAAATACCAAAACAAGAAGCTGTCGGAGATTCAGTTTGACGGTAAAAAAAAAATTTAAAAACATTTTTAGGTCACCTGAGTAAACTCAGGTGACCTATTGCTATCCGTTTTCGTCCGTCGTGAGTTGTGTGTCGTGCGTTAACATTTAAACATTTTCAGCTTCTTCTCTGAAACCACTGAACCAATTTCAACCAAATTTGGCATATAGCATCTATGGGTAAAGGGGAACAAAAACTGTGAATTTCGTGGTCCCCAACCCCCTGGGGCCTGGGGGGGTGGGGCAAAAACCACTAAAAATAGTGCAATCTTTAAAAATCTTCTTCTTTACTCCCGGACATCAAGCAGTCAAACTGTTGGTATGATTGTAATCAGCATTGAGTCCTCTACCAAAATTGTGAAATTCATGGCCCCAGGGTCAGGGGTTCTGGTGTTAGGGCGGGGCTCTATTGATTATACAGTGAAATGCAGTAAGTCTTTAAAAATCTTCTTCTCTGCTCCTGGGTATTAAATAAACAAATTAAGTTCAAAGTTATGATGAGCAAGAGTGGCTTTTCATAAATTGTGAATTTTATGGCCCCAGGGTCAGGGGTTCTGGTGTTAGGGTGGGGCTCTATTGATTATATAGTGAAAATGCATTATTTCTTTGAAAATCTTCTACTCTGTTCCTGAGTATTAAATAAACTACTTAAGCACATAGTTATGATGAGCAAGAGTGGCTTTTTAGGTCACCTGAGTAAACTCAGGTGACCTATTGCTATCCGTTTTCGTCCGTCGTCGTCCGTCGTGTGTCGTGTGTTAACATTTGAACATTTTCAGCTTCTTCTCTGCAACCACTGAACCAATTTCAACCAAATTTGGCACAAAGCATCTATGGGTGAAGGGGAACAAAAATTGTGAATTTCATGATCCCTACCCCCCTGGGGCCTGAGGGGTGGGGCCAAAACCACTAAAATTAATGCAATCTTTAAAAATCTTCTTCTTTTTTCCTGGACATCAAGCAGTCAAACTATTTGCATGATTGTAATCAGCATTGAGTCCTCTACCAAAATTGTGAAATTCATGGCCCTGGGGTCAGGGGTTTTAGTGCTAGGGCGGGGCTAAATAAGTATATAGTGAAAATGAATTATTTCTTTGAAAATCTTCTTCTCTGCTCCTGGGTATTAAATAAACCAACTAAGTACATAGTTATGATGAGCAAGAGTGCCTCTACCAAATTTGTGAATTTTATGGCCCCAGGGTCGGGGGTTCTGGTGTTAGGGTGGGGCTCTATTGATTATATAGTAAAAATACATGATTTCTTTGAAAATCTTCTTCTCTGCCCCTGGGTATTAAATAAACCAAGTAAGTAAATAGTTATGATAAGCAAGAGTGCCTCTACCAAAATTGTGAATTTTATGGCCCCAGGGTCAAGGGTTCTGGTGTTGGGGGGGGGGGGCTCATTGATTATATAGTGAAATTACATGAATTCTTTGAAAATCTTCTTCTCTGCTCCTAAGTATTAAATAAACTAACTAAGTGCATATTTATGATGAGAAAGAGTGCCTCTATCAAAATTGTCAATTTTATGGCCCCAGGGTCAAGGGTTCTGTGGTTGGGGGGGGGGGGGGGCTCTATTGATAATATAGTGAAATTACATGAATTCTTTGAAAATCTTCTTCTCTGCTCCTAGGTATTAAATAAACTAACTAAGTGCATAGTTCTGATGAGCAAGAGTGCCTCTACAAAAATTGTGAATTTTATGGCCCCAGGGTCAGGAGTTCTGGTGTTAGGGTGGGGCTCTATTGATTATATAGTGAAAATACATTGAATCTTTGAAAATTTTCTTCTCTGTCTCTGGGTATGAAGCAGATGAACTACTATATACACACTGTAGTTATGATGAGAAAGGGCCCTAATCTTGCAGAATTGTGAATTTCAAGGCCCCAGGGTCAGGGGTGGGGGGGGGGCTCTACTTATATACTGGAAATGAATCAATTGTTTGAAATCTGGTCCTTTGTATTTATAAAACATTTATTTACTTTTTGATAGGCAATTTTAAGGGTGCCTTTTAAAAATTTGTGCAACCTAGGGTCAGGGGTTTATGTCAGAGTGTTAGGGGCACTACTGATTATTGATGAATATTACTGATTAGTTGGAGTGCATTTTTGTTCCCCTACCCTGCATATGGGTATTCAGTAACCAAGCTAAGCGACTGCTAAGTTTATTGTTATGATGATCAATGGTGCTCTTTCAAAATTGTGAATGCCATATAGCATCTGGCTTAAAACATGTTATTGAATCAAATTCAATACACTGTAACTGGAAAGTTGTTGCATAATGCTTAGGTGACCTATAAGGCCCGTGGGCCTCTTGTCATAAATTGTGAATTTTATGGCCCCAGGGTCAGGGGTTCTATTGTTAGGCGGGGGTCTATATTGATTATATAACGAAAATGCATTAAATCTTTGAAAATCTTCTTCTCTGCTCTTAGGTAGAAAAAACACTAATTCAATAAATAATTATGATGAGCAAGAGTGCCTCTACCAATATTGTGAAATTCATGGCCCCAGGGTCAGGGTTCTGGTGTTAGGGTGGGGCTCTATTGATTATATAGTGAAATGCAGTAAGTCTTTAAAAATCTTCTTCTCTGCTCCTAGGTTTTAAATAAACTAACTAAGTATATAGTTATGTTGAGCAAGAGTGCCTCTTCCAAAATTGTGAATGCCTTAGCATCTAGCTGAAAACATGAAACAAATTCAATCATTTGAAAGTTGTTGCATGATGCACAGGTGACCTATAAGGCCCGTGGGCCTCTTGTTAAAATTTTGAAAGGAAATCACATAGTTATCAAATACATTAAGATAAGCATTGATTAGTTAGTTTGCAAATACATTTAAAGTATACTATATGCTGTAAAATGTTCATTCGTTGTAGAACTTGGAACACTTGAGAGAAAAATTCAAGACCAAGATCAAGAACAGCAAGGTAATCATATCCAGTCAAACATTGGTATCTCAAACTCAAACGGAATGCGTTTTCTGCCTGATTATACCTCATGATAAAAGTCGCAATATATAAGATTTTTTTAATGATTAGGGTAAATCATGTAGACTTATTGAGACTTCAATTTGGATATAACATCATTTTCATATATCTATCATAGTATTTGAGATACTAGATTTTTAGATAGCAACAATCAATTGTATGTTCCTCATTGTATCAGTTATAGCAACTGCAAGTTCTTGGGGTACCCATCTTTTTTGGCAACTCATACCACTAATGTTGATGAGCAATGATAATTTTTTCTCCCCTAAATTTGAATTTGGGATGAGGGATTTGGTGTTAGTACTTTGGGTTTTATTCATGTAATAGAAGTGGACTGCATAGATAGTTATCTCTCTCCTGTATTTAACAGATAAGCCAACTCCATGGTTTTTGATTATGACATTTAATGTTTGAAATACATTATTATTCAAACCCAACGGCATGTATGTAATACACCGAAATGTATCATCGAATCTTTATGATGTCACAGAAATTTTTTTTACATCAAACGTTTATCCAAACATACGCACATCTATGACCTCTAGACCCCATACCAGTATTTATACAGTTAAAGATACGCATTGCTTTCAGTAGTGTTATGAAAAAAGTTGCACTGATCCATGTGGTCTGTGACAATAAATATTGGTGCACATATGTTGTTTATAATTCAGTGATATCTTATTGATGCATATAATACTCAGTTTACAGTGTTCATTAAATTTAATTTGTTTATTCAATTATTTAGTTATTCATGTTTTTTTTTTTTTTGCAGACACTGAAAATGCTGCTGATCAAGGGAAAAATGTGGATGATGGTATGTACATGTTAATTCTTAGGTTATCTCGAATGTCAATAAGACAGGAATTAGATAGAAACTTTTTCATTGTATTGTCATGAACAGCATCTATGACGGTTTACATTATTTGCAGTAAACATATCACTGTATTTGTGATTTGTTTTTGGTACCTCATTAAAATCAACACTTCTTGATGTGTGATTCATCATGAATCCATTACTTTATTTTCATGTATACAACATGGAATGTAAAGTCTATTTTAAAGCATTTTTGGGATCTAGATTATTGATATATGTGCCCCAAGCGAAATGGACAAAACAATTGGGGTTTTATGTGTGTGTGTGTAAAACTTCAAAATTACCATTGCACAATAAAAATAGGCTGATTTATATGACAGCATCTTTCAAGTCTGCATCTTATATTAATGTTCCTTATATCATATACTTTCTTTTTCAAGACATTGACATTGAAGAGGACTTTACAGTGTGTAGAAAAAAGGCTAAGAAATGTAAGTACTTGTATTTGAAAATGCGTTTTCTGCCTGATTATACCTCATACAACAAGATGTGTGAAGTATAATGTTTTTGACCTGTATATCAATCAGTCAGTCCTGTATTTTTGTCAGCACAACTCCTTTTAAACCATTGCCCCCCCCCCCCCCCTCCTCACGTGAAACGTGAAATAAGTGCTTTGCTAATATTAACAATTTTATGTGGCTACATCATAAATTTTTTTTAAATAATTATTTAAATGTGTAAATTGTCATTTGTTGGACATGGAGTTTTAATGCGATCAATTCTTGCAAATAATGCCCTTGACCCTGGGGCCATAAGATTAACTACCTATATAGTCATGACGAGCAAGGGCCCTTATCTTGCAGACTTGTAAACAAAATTTGCAATTTTTCTCAAGGACCCTGGGTCATTTTCGTGGTATCAGGGGGGGGGGGGCTCTACTTATTTACTGAAAATAAATTGTTTGAAATCTGCTCCTTTGTATTTATAAAACATTCATTTATTTTTTGATAGGCAATTTTAAGAGTGTCTTATTAAATTTGTGCAATGTGTGGACCTAGGGTAAGGGGTTTATTTCACAGTGTTAGGCGCACTACTGATTATTGCTGAATATTACTGATTAGTTGGAACTGATTAGTTGGAACAAGTCGTACGTAAAAAATTCAATATAACAAAAACAACAAGACCAGAAATTGGGAAATAATCGGTAATGTCGGCATTTTGTTTGTTCCCCTACCCTGCGTATGGATATTCAGTAACCAAGCTAAGCAACTGCTAAGTGTACTGTTATGATGATCAATGGTGCCTCTTTCAAAATTGTGAATGCCATATCTCATCTGGCTTAAATTAAAACATGAATCAAATTCAATAACTGGAAAGTTGATAAATAATGCTCAGGTGACCTATAAGGCCCGTGGGCCTCTTGTTGAATTTAACATACATAGTATATATTTAAAGTGCACAGTGTCATTGTCGCATTGTCAACTTTTAAGGGAGTGTGGGGTAAATGAGCTTGCTCATTTTTTCATATATTTTTAAAAATATATTTTTGCATTGAAAATGGAGTGATGGATGCTTATAATGGTTAAATACTCAGACAATGGAGAACGAAATTTTCTAAGCATAATTTTGGTCAGAAGTTTGAAATACACATAAAAGCTGTGAGATTTTACAATGCAACTCCATGTCTATTCTGTTGTGAAACAAATATTCTGATGTTTCTTTCTTTTTAGCTGAAAGAGTCCGATGGTCTCCTGCTGAAGAAGAAGAGATAAAGAAATACTTCTCTCGTTATTTTGAGGGGCATTTTCAAAAGAAATGCCCCTCAAGGGAGCATTGTCTTGACGCTATTAAAAAAAGCAAAGAAAATGGGGGAACAATATGTAACAGAAAATGGGAAACCTTGAAAAAAAAAGTTTCCAATATGTTAGTGAAGATTAAAGTATGAAGTGGCTGATTTAAGTTAGTTCAAATACCCCCTCCCCTTTTTTCTTTGAATGCACCTTTACTAGTATATTTCAAGATAAGAACTGAACTGATTTTTCGTTTAGCCAGTTGCTCAGGTGAATGATGTGGCCCATTGGCCTCGTGTTTTTTTTTTATTGTATGACACAAAAACTGAGATCAGAGAGGATCAACTTGTTTTTTTCATTTTTGTTTTCCATAAGGCCAAGAAAAAAAATGTTTGTTTCCTGTACCCCGGCCGACCCATTCAAATTAGCCTCTTGTTGATTTTTCTCCTGCTAAATGGCAAAACTGTGTCTGATCAAATCAGCTGTTTCCATTTATTCAAAAGAAATTAGTTGTAGCTTTACTTGAGACATAAAATATATCAAAATACTTAACATTAACCCTAAAGAAAAGAGTAATCATTACTTTAAAATAAATTTCCCCCACATCTTTTTGAAGTTTGTTTTCTGTCGCTTTGCAGCCATGTTGGTTGTACACTATAAATATAACACCTGGATGAATCAGTCATAGAATGTTTTTTGGGGACTGTTACAGGAAACAAACATATTTTTTAAGCCTAAAAGAAAATTTGATGTACTGATTTTTGTGACTTAGTAATGGAACTTGTTTGGAGAAAATTTTGTTACACTGTTGAACATTTGATATGATGTAGTGAAATTTAGTGCAACTTGGGATTTTTTTAGTCACATGAACCAAAGGCTAATGTAAGTTTTTCTAATCACAAAGTATCCAGCATCTGTCTGTCACTTTTTTTCTTAATTTCAGATATTGTAGATTCAGGTTTTTTCATATTATGACCCCCTGAGTTAGGGCAAAACAAGGGGCCAAGTTTAATGCAGTAATAAATATCTTAAAACTCTTCTCAAGAATAGCAAAGCTATTGTTAGCCGTATTAATTTAAAAAAAAAAAATCTTTTCAAGGAATAGCAAAACATAATTCAAAGCATCTGTATTTAGTGAAGTTTTATTTTGAAAAAATCTTTAAAAAGTCTTTCTCAACAACAACAAATTCATAATAAGCAATATATATTGAATTATTCTTTGAAGTGTGCATAAAAGTTTGTCCAAATTTTGACCCCCTGGAGTGGGGAGAAGTTGATATAAGATTTATGTTGGGAAATAACCTAGAATGACCATTTTTGTCTGGTTAGTGCCATGGCCAATTTGCTCTTTTGTTAATATAGCCAAAACTTTCAAACAGACATGTATGACACTATACAGGTATGATCAGAAAAAGAGAAAAAACATTGGGAAATCCGAATTTTAAATATATGTACATCTACTTGAAATACATTTACTCTCATTTTGTAGTAAATGAAATACTGATTTGGTTGGATTTGTATGTTGAACATTGAAGAGTTAATCATTTTCAATATATAGGTCAAACAACATGTTCCTAGAAAAAAAAAATCGCTAGAATTTGTAATTGAAGTATTGTTACTTGAACAAATTTTATCACCTAAAATTGGGATACCTTACCAGGAGTATGGGCAAGACACCAGAGGGTGGTATTTCTTAAATAATCCTTATATAATCCCCATGGGTAATCCCTTGAATTGCTTATCTTAAAATTTTTTAAACTTTGAAAACAATTTAGAAATCACTGAAGAATGACAATTATGAATAATTATTGATTTTATACCATATACATGTATTTGAGGAACATGTTGTCTGTCCTTAAGTCCTCTAAGCTATGGTCTTAGGGCCTGGATTTAAGTTTTTAAGATAACAAAGATTATGTATTTTATTTTGTTTTAAGAAAGATTATGTTATTTTAGTCTTGGTATGTTTGTTTTAAAAAGAAAATTTGTAATTTTACTTTGTTGCAACATGTACTGTCAAATAAAGTATATAATTTGTTGAAACATTTGATTTCATCACATTACCATGGGAGGAAGGAGAACAGGTTTTAATTATTCTTGTAATAGAAAGGATACATTTAATTTTCATTAGATAATCACCCCATCACCAAAGTGAGAACGTCTTAACATGTTTATTTTTGAAATATATATATATATATTCAAGCTGATGCATAATATTTTCTGAAATGATGATCATCTATCTTGGAATGTCAGTGTTTCATAAAACACACTATTACCATATTTACTCCCTAAAATAAGATTTTTGGGAGTTAGATTTTTATATTTAAAAAAAAAAAACTAGATATGTGAAAAGTGAAATATAGTGAAACTGCTAGGTTACACATACTGAAATTAAATATGGTGGGTCAAATTCTGTTTGAGTATGTATAGACTACTTTTGACAAAGTTATTGCCATTGGGCTTTAAAAAATTCTTATGATTTGCAGTTCCATTCATTTTCTTTGCAGAAGCTGCACATACTCGAATGAAATTTGGTATACAAATTTATCATAAGAATATTTAGGTCAAGTTCTGCTTTGGGTATATATCGAGTTTGGGGGGGGGGGGGGAGAATATGTGTTTCACATATATCTTGTTTATATTAATTAGTGAAAACTGTAAACGTATTACATTTAGCTGTGTATTCTTTTTAGTGCTCTTGGCGGAGAGGAAATTACACTACAACTCAAGTACAACGCTAAATGTCTTGCACATATATATATTGATGAGAACATTGAGAAATGTGCTAAATCAAATCAACGCTAATAACGCGTTCAAAGATTAATATTTGCAAAACATGTTACGAGTTAAGACTAATACTTTTCAGTATACTTTTGTAGAAAAATAAAGGGCTTGATAACATACAAGGCATCCAATTTCTTGTTTGTAGAAGTCTTAAAGCCCTTATTATTTATTTGCTGGTCCATAAACAGTCTGGATGTTAATTAATTGACAAAAAAATCAGGCGTTCAACAAATTGTAGCAGATTTATTTTTGTTTCCTAATATATTGTCATATATCTTCCTATTTTATAATAATGTTAAAATACATGGTCCTGAGTGAGTATAATAACTTGAACCTAGTCTGTTAACAAGCTGAAACTTTTAAAATTGCATGCTGGTCCATCTGTTAATTAAGAGCTAATTTAAAAATGAAGCTCATAAAGTTTGAATGTAAGAACAATTTTGAATTGAAGACTATACTTACGAGCTTTTAAACTCTTAAATCCTTTAACTCCTAATGTTTATATGTTGGTCTGTCCGTCCGAGATCTCTTGTCCGGAGCATATCTTCTCTCTCCTTGGCCCAATCTGGCTCATATTTCACCCCCAGAGTGCCTTTGGGTAACCAGTGTGCAGTGACCTTGAACCAGGTTTCTATGTCAAAGGTCAAGGTCATAAATGAATTATATGAAAAATCCTTCTCCAAAGCATATCTTCTCTCTCCTTGGCCCAATCTGGCTCATACTTCACCCCCAGAGTGCCTTTGGGTAACCGGTGTGCAGTGACCTTGAACCAGGTTTCTAGGTCAAAGGTCAAGGTCAAAGCTAAATTATATGAAAAATCCTTGTCCGGAGCATATCTTCTCTCTCCTTGGCCCAATCTGGCTCATACTTCACCCACAGAGTGCCTTTGGGTAACCGGTGTGCAGTGACCTTAAACCAGGTTTCTAGGTTGAATGTCAAGGTCATAGCTGAATTATATGAAAAATCCTTGTCTGGAACATATCTTCTCTCTCCTTGGCCCAATCTGGCTCATACTTCACCCACAGAGTGCCTTTGGGTAACTGGTGTGCAGTGACCTTGAACCAGGTATCTAGGTTAAAGATCAAGGTCATAGCAGAATTATTTGAAAAATCCTTGTCTGGAGCATATCTTCTCTCTCCTTGGCCCAAACTGCCTCATACTTCACCCAGAGAGTGTCTTTTGGTAACCGGAGTGCAGTGACCTTGAACCAGGTTTCTAGGTCAAAGGTCAAGGTCATAGCAGAATGACATGAAAAATCCTAGTCCGGAGTATATCTTCTCTTTTGTTTGCCCAATCTGGCTATTACTTCACTCATAGAGATCCACTGGTCAATGGATGTGCAGTGACCTTGGTTGAAGTTTCTAGGTCATGGTCAGAATTACCCTTTCTGTTTAAATTCTTTGTTTGGTGCATAATTCTTTGCCTTTAATTCCAGTAAATTTATATAACTTGGGATACAAGATAACTTTGATAAATATTAGTAAATTTGCAGTATCCGTGAAGTCGTACTAAATGACTTTTACTGTATAACACAAATGTTCCTCTTCAAAAAAATCCCTTTTAAACGACTTTACATTTTCGTGTTCATTGTTGAATGCAGGGCCCTTGAGATGGCCACCATCTCAATTATATCTAGTTTTAAGTTATGATGAATATTCGAAAAAACTATTTTTAGCATATAGGTCACAGTCAAGGTCACAAGGTCATTGACCTTGATGTCATATGAAAGAACTTAATTAGTGGAGTAGACATACCAAATATGAAATCTTTATCTCTCATTGGGTTAAAAAATAATGGTGAAAGTTAAAGGTATTTTAAATACCTTGATAAAGCTATATAGTTTTATCAAGCTATATACCTTTATCGGGGTATTGTGCTGGACCTGATTATAATGAATCATTTGAATTGACTAAAAATTAATAGACTTAGAAAGGATTGTCTTACGTGTACATTAGTAGTAGATGTGTAAAATTTATTTCTATATGCTACAGTATTCGTGTGTACATTATGTTTTAACACAGTGGACAATGTTTATGTTTTAGCGCCTGCGCAATGCTGCGTTGTCAAGGACTTAGTCCTGCGACTAAGCGTATCTTTTACGACTAGACTTACGCCACTTGGTGAAACACAAATTACGCCCGACTAAATTTTGGCGTAAGCCCCGGAAGTACGCCTAAGTTAAGGCTTAAATCTACGACTTTTGATGAAACAGGCTCCAGGTCATTCTGGGTACCTGTGACAGCCCTAGTGGCTTGCTTAAAGTCCTGAATGCATTGATTATTGGCAATGGTCTTCATAAATAAGAAATATGGAAAAAACACTGGTATTCAGTGGATGTGATACCGTGAAAGCACTTCTTTTTGTTGGTTTTCAATTTTAGTTGTTTCCGAGGTATGGAGAGATACACACATTTATGACCACAAGGAAATGTAAAATTTTATATGCATTACTACTAAACATTTTCCAACCACAAAATCAAGTCCCAACAAACCAGTATTTTTCATCAAACCTCAAAAAGTTCGGACCCACTTAAAAATGTAGATTGATTGATTGTATATTGTTTAACGCCCCTCTCGAGAATTTTTCACTCATATGGAGATGCCACCACAGCAAATTTTGTCCTTTATTCGGCACTTAGGTCTACGAGCAGGGAGGGATCTTTTTTTGTGCCAACACCTACTGCAACACGGGACCTCAGTTAATTTGTACAGTCTCATCCGAAGAACTGGTCTCCACGTCCCACAGTGGGATTTGAACTTGCGATGACCTCTTTACCTAGCGACTCTAGAGCAGACGCTCTAACCACTGCACCACGCTGGCGACAAAATAAGCTGATTACTTATCTTTAGCTGATCATTTAAGCAATCATTTAAGGGCATCAACTGGCATATGCATAAATTATCCCATGTTTCCCACTATCGTTGATGTCCCTGGCATACTATACTAACTAGACAGTGATTTCTTATATTTCCATTTCATTGAGAAATAAAATTGTAGATTTAGACATTAAAAATTAGGGCTGAAACGATTCACCGAAATATCGATATTGTTCGATATAAGTGCTCGGTTCAATGTTCGATTCACCATCTCGATTTTCGGTTCGATACGTTTTTTATAATCGGGTTTGGTTAACTCTTTGAAATAGATCGGGTTCGACCTTATTTTAACAGTTTGACACACACGAGGGAGAAAATTGAGACGGTAAAGTTTCAGAGTAGGCTGCCTCTGCTATTATTTATAAGAATAAAGTGTTCTTAATCTACAAAACCACAAGTATCAGAGATGTGCAATTAACAAATTAGTAAATTCGGGCTAGTAAAAATTATAACTACGCATGTAATACATGAAAAGCACAACCGGTATTTTACTCAGTTTTTGCTATTAAATTCCCAACCAGTGAATATTTTCCAGGCAGCATGCTCCTACTGTCAATAAATCTCCATAATTTTCTCCACTTTGCAGTACTTTCTGATTTATTTACTTCCAAAAACGATCGTTTTTTTTCTTCCTAATCCGAATTTCCTCCGTTTATTGTAAATACATGCAGATATCTCATTAAATTATTTACGATCACTCAATCAACTGAAAGATCAGTGTGATTCACATGAAATATATTTCTAGTGTATTTAAGGATTTAATATGAAAACAAAATGAATATATATTTTCATTCTAAATGAGCTAGTGCAAATTAATCAGAAAAGGAAAGATCTTCAGATAATTTTTTTAAATTCATTTTTATTTTCTGTCATAATCATTAGTTTTATATGATTTAATTTCAATAGTGAGAATAAAATTTTAAATTTTTAAAAGAATGACCTTAGTACCCTGACTTTTTCAATAATTAATTTTTTTTTTCAACATTAGTTTATTTTAATTTTTGTCACTTTATTTGGGCTAGTAACTTTATTGCTGCATGGGCTAGTGCTTGAATTTTTAAATTGCATACCCCTGGTAGTATATTTCTATTGTATCACCACCTTTTACTCTTTTTTTAAAAAATCTGAATATGTTTTTTTTAACCTTATGAATAGTTTCGTTCTTAAATTGTATCGTATTGAAAAAATTGAATTGTGACACAAGTATTGCAATACGTATCGTATCGTGGAGGGGGCGTATCGTTTCAGCCCTATTAAAAATGTAGACTAAGACTTAAATTACACGAGGACTTCCATGCCAATTTCAATAGTCCTCGCCCACTGATGTCAAACACATAGACAGCCCCATGAGATTTGCCTGCATATTTGGCCTCCTTAGTGTCAGTCACATAGAAAGACCGAACGAGATTTGTATGCATATTAGGCCTCCTTAGTCCCTGACCTATCGACCTGCCTAATTTACATTTTGGCAGAATTATCAAGAAATAAACTCCGACAACTTTCAGAGTTATCACAGAGAAAAAAATTGGAAATTGAAATATTTATCTTTATAAGCTAGTCAGAATTGATTGATCTAGCTACATGTGTATTCTATTATGCTTTTTTTTTAATGTTTATTCATTTTACAA